ACGATTTGTTAAATAGATCATTCATGTAAAAAAAATAAGTTAATTAAAAATCTATAACTCTCATAACAATTAGATATTTGTTTTTTAAAAAATAAACGATTAACATAATCTTAACAATTTTTGCAAAATAATTTGAATCTAATCATGGGGTTGTGGATTTTTGATTAATTAATTTTTTTTATATGAATGATATATTCGACGAACCTTATAATATGAACGATTCAGATTATCGAAAAAGATTCAAAAAATCCCCCAGAGCACCACAGATCCCTGCCGTGACTTTTCATAGCAGGATCCTCGAGTCCATTGTTCTCTCATCTTATCCATGGTTGTGGTGGTTGAGCTCACATGCTTCTCAGGCTCTCTTTTATTGACTATCCGTGAAGGTATTCTGTCACGACTCGAACCTGCCCCTAAAAGTTTAGGCCATGACTAGCCCGTACTTAGGCCTCAAAAACAAATTTTCAAAATATTTAAATGACATCAGGGCCTAAAGTGGAAGCAAATCAAATAGTAATGTCTATTGAGCTTGTGCATATATGGTAATTGAAACAATTAAAACAATGTAAACACACTAGTATATATATATATATACACTACAACAAAAAGCATTTTTTCCGACGTTTTTTAGCAACAAAATTGAATTTAGTTGCCAATTGTACATTTTTGGCGACAATATACGTGTTAGTCGCCAAAAAATACACCATTAGCAACAAATATCTCAATTCGTCGCGAAAAATGGTTGGCGCCAATTTAATTTGTTGCGCGGGAGCGCTAATAAAGTTTTGCCGACGAAATTAATATATGGCGACGAAACTGTTTGTCGCCAATTTGGGAATTCTTGGCGACGGAATTAAACTAATCGCTGAAAGGTAAATGATATTTATGGCAACATAATAATTTTCGTCGCCAATAAATTTCTTGTCAAAACGATGTCGTTTTGAATCTGTCGTTTTTTTTAATGACCTTTAAGTGGTTAAACAAAATTGACCTAAAATGAGTCTTCTTCATCTTCTCATTGCACAACCTGAAGCGGCACAAAGAGGTATGTTTTCTCTCCCTCTTCTTTGTCTCTTTTTCCCTGTCCCTCTCCTTCTCCCTCTCACTCTCACTCTCTCACACTGTCTCATCTTCATCTCTTTCTTCTTTATCATCAATTTCATTCTCTTGTTCGGCATTACAGAACACAACACAATCAATGGGACTGATTTTTCCCTCACTTTCTCACACTCTCTCATCTTCCTCTTTTTCTTCTTTGTTATCAATCTAATTTTTCAGACTGATATTCTGATTTTTCGGACTGATATTGTGATTTTCGGACTGATATATTGTGATTTTTGGACTGATTTTGGAACTGATTTTCGGGACTGGTACGTTCTGAATTTTTTGACTGATTTTTGTAAGAAACGAAATGTAGAGCTTTTTCAAGAGATGCAAGGATGGTTTATGTAAGACTTTATAGAGAATTCTTTGATGCAACCCATATTATGGTGTCTGTCTCTGTTCTTGTGATTGATTTTGGAGCTGTGATAATCTCTGTTATTTATTTATTTATTTTATATATATATATATGTATATATATATATTATATCTGCTTACAATAACCACAGACTGGTTGAAAATTTATTTTTTTATTTTTTATTTTTTTTATTTCTTGGTGATGTATTATATAGCATTAGAAGGCAAAAAGGTAAATGGATGTTACCAAGAAAACAAACATCAAACTTAAGCTCGTTTGTTTAAGTGAAAGTCATTTTTTATTTTCTATATTTTCTATAGTTTTTTATGAAGGAAAACAAAAGTTAACAAAAAAATATATTTTTTATAGTCAATGAAAAATAATTTGTTTGGGTGAAAAATATTTTTCATTGTTAAAAAGTGAAAAAATATTGTTTGGATTAATATTTACCACCGCTGTCAGTGCGTCGATGAGGCCCATCGATTGTGAGCACACAGCATGACATGGCATTAAGAAGCATATGTTAACGGGATATTCGAGAGCATTGGCTGAGATTGTCTTTGCCATTGGTTTAGATGGAGTATGCAAAATATGACTCTTATTTTGTTTTGTTGGGTATGCGAATGAACCAGGGAACTTGCATTTTTTTTGTGTTTTTATTCAAGTGGTGTGTCATGAGGGTGGACCACAGTTTTGTGTTGAATATTCTTACAAGTTACAACTATTCATTGCCCAAAAAATTATAGATATTTTGTGTATCAGTGACCCTTTTAATAATTTCATCATATAACATTCATTTCATGTCCACTCTCTATTAATTTCATGTACAGTGCGATTTTAATTTAAACTTTGATTTACAATTCAAATGTTATAGGTTATTGGCTAATGCAAAGAGATAAAAAAAGCTGCAATCATTCGTTGGGGGCAATTACTACATCAAGTAAGCTTTGACTATATTTTAGGGCATTTTAAACTTATTTATCAAGTTAGTCATTTTAGTTTCTACACCTATGATCTTGAAACTATATAACCTTATTAAATTTAATAAGTCTAGTTGTCAAAAAAATGAGACTAGAAACGTCATTTAGCAACTTGACTATTTTAGTTGATTTTTTTATTTTTTTATGAAATGAAAAAGAATTATGTTTTGGATGATTTGTGGATTTTTTATTTTTTTTTGTAGGTGAATAGATAATTGTAAAAGAAAAAGTTGTTGATTAATGTATGCGACATGAAATTTTGTTTTATTAACTATTTTTTTCTATTGACTATTTAGCCAAAATATAAGTCCCAAACATGCCTAAAAAGAAAAGAGAAATAATCAGTTATCTTTTTATTTTGATTATTCATGTTTCAAGTTTTTTTCTAATTTACTCCTAAAACTAACTTTTGTTCAAAATTAGATAGAAAATGCATGTTTCCTGCCACATCATATAAAATTAGGGTTGTTTGTGGGACTGCTGGGTGATAATTTGATTATCTGCTAATCTGTTTTTCTGCTACTGTGTGGCTGGTCTGCTACTCTATATCTGAGGCTAATCTGCTTCTTTGTATCTGTTGGGTGATAATCTGATTTTTTGTTAATCTGGTTCTCTGCTGTTGTGTGGCTGGTCTGTATCTGTTGGGTGATAACCTGATGCTAATCTGCTAATCTGATATGTGTCTGTTGCTGTTTTTGGCCTATGCTAGCACTAGTTCCATGCCTCTTTTTGTTTTGTTTGTATTTGGATTAGGTTGCATGCCTCTATTTGTTGTTGATCAAAAAAATAAAAAATAAAAGGGCAAACTGTAAATTACCCTTCAGTTTATATGTGGTTCATGCCACATTATGGGACTGTTTTGTACGGTTTATATGAGTTGTTTATAGTTATTTATTATTTTTAGAGTCAATTTAAACTGTTTTGTATAGTTTCTGTTTATAGTTTATTAGGTAAGAATAGTTTAAGAGCAATGCTACGTCTATTTAAAGTCTTGCTAACAATATTACTAAAAACATATATGTTCAAATATCATTGGATGATTAATATCATTAATTTTTTAACAACCAATCACATTTGGCCTATTATATTTTTGGTAAGATTTTTAGTAAGTTTGTAGTATAGGTAGAATTATTCATAGTTTAAATAAGTTGAAACAAAAATTGATTATCTCAAAGTTTAGGAAAGCTGTTTTGACTTTTGTTTTCATTTTTAGTATGCAATAAATTGCACCAAACACTATATATATTTTAACTAAACATTGTCTATTTAAATTTTAATACAAAATTCAAAGTGCACAGTGAGACCTATCAAATGTGTAAGTCTCACCCTAGTATGTTTGTGGTGATGCTGTAAAAAGGTATCCTTTTGTTGCACCACATGATAATAACCTCACATTAAAGGCCATTAATTGGTGCATTACCAAAAGTCTTAGGTTATTAAAGCACCAGAATGCAAAGTTTGAGATGTAAAATTTAATATTCTTAATACATTTTTGTAGTTAAGTATGATTTTTAGTTTAAAATAAGGAAATTTAAACTCTAACATTAAGAATGGTTTTGTTTAGTTTCACTTTAAATAATTTTATTTTAAATACTTTTTAAAACAAAAGCAATAGAAAATTGAAAAACAGCCATCAAGGCTAATAGGATGTTGGTATCCATATCTCTGCATATATCTCTCTACCAAACAATTACTTCTACATCCATTGTAATTCACAATACATGAGTAAAAATAGAGACAATTTTTTTTTCCTTTGTGGAAGATGACCATATAATTTGACTTATAGTTTCTTATACTATACAATGTGATCATGTGTACATGCAGCATCTTTAAATTAAATGTTAAATTAAAAAAATGTATTACAATAATTATAAAAACTTCAACTTTCATTAAACAAATAATTAAAATACATATACATACTCATCATAGAGAAGTACACACAGGAACATAACTTGAATTTCATGATTCTACCCTTGTAGGCCCTATTTGTGAGTTGTTTTGTTCTTTAATTTCACCATATTGGTTCAAGGTTTGGCTTTTTTCGAGAGAAAATATTATTTTTTTATTATTTCTCAATGTTTACCTAATGTTTTGAGCATTCATGATATGACAAACACTTATATGACTCAAGGAACTATTTGACATGTAATTCTCTAATTCAAAGGAATCTCACATAACCATGGCTTTGTAGGTGACCAAATATGGACAAGAGTTGGATGTTACTTAAGGATAGGATGAGTTCCCAGTATCGAGATGGGGTGAAAGCTTTTGTTCAATTTGCAATGATGAATGTAGAGCCAAATGATAAGATTCGTTGCCCATGTATGGACTGTTTGAATTGTGAACGACATACTTGTAAAATTGTGGAGTATCATTTAGTTGTGAAAGGGATGTCCCCTTCTTATAAGACTTGGGTGCATCACGGGAAATCTGTTCCCATGAATCAATCTCATGCATTGAATAACGACAACCACAATGACTTTGGAAGTGTTGGGGATAGAATGGAAGCAGAGACAGGCGAAGATCAAGATGAAATCCTAAATTTGTGAGAAGATGTTTACATGGGGACTACCATAAATGATGATGGAAATGAAGAGGATGAGGAGGACGGTGATAATGACAATGACAATGACGATGATGTGGCTAACAATGTTGAAAAAAGGGCGTGTCCAACTTTAACAAATTGTTGAATGATGCTCAAAGAGAGTTGTACCCTGGGTGTCGTAAGTTTTCTCTTTTATCATTTGTTGTTAAGATGCTTCATGTGAACGTGTTGAACAAGTGGAGCAATAAGTCTTTCACCATGTTGTTGGGGATATTAAAGGACCTTCTACCGGTAAGTGATCAAGTGATTCCGTGGACCCTTTATGAAGCCAAAAAATTCTTACGTGCCTTAGGCTTAGGATATGTGTCGATTCATGCATGGAAATATGATTGTGCACTTTTCTAGAAAGAGAATGCAAATTTAGAGAATTTTTCGATTTGTCAAGAGTCTAGATACAAGTCGAATTATGGAAAAGGTAAAAAAGTTCCTCACAAGACCTTAAGATACTTCCCGTTGACATCAAGGTTGCAGAGATTTTATATGTCGAGAAAAACAGCAATAGATATGAGATGGCATAAAGAGAAATGAGTAGATGATGGGATATTGAGACACCCGGCTGATGGTGAGGCATGGAAGGATTTTGATAGGCAACATCCTTTGTTTTCCCAAGATAGTCGAAATGTGAGGTTAGGGTTGGCCACTGATGGTTTCAATCCTTTTGGAAACATGAGCAACTCGTACAGTATGTGGCCTGTGATTGTTATGCCTTACAACTTGCTTCCTTGGAAATGTATGAAACAAGCATTTAGTATGCTGTCATTGCTTATCCCTGGACCACAAGCACCAGGGAGAGATATCGATGTTTACATGCGACCATTGATTGATGAGTTGAAGGAGTTGTGGGAAGATGGTGTGCTTACTTATGATGCCTCAACTGAATTAAGTTTTCAAATGCATGCAGCTGTTATGTGGACAATTAATGACTTTCTTGCATATGGAAACTTGTCAGGATGGAGTACGAAAGGGTATTTGGCTTGTCCCACCTGTAACAAAAATGCTTCCTCACAATGGTTGAGAGGTAAGATAGGGTACACAGGCACTCGTTGTTACCTGCCTGATGACCACCCTTGACGAAGGAGTCAACTTTATAATGGTAAGACTGAGTTCCTGTCAAGTCCTTTAGAGTTATCAGGGGAACAAATCTTAGAACAATTGGATTCAGGGACATTCAAACCATTTGGAAAGCATCCAACCAATAAGAAAAGAAAAAGGGAAAATCCAGTATTGAATTGGACAAAAAAAAAAGCATCTTCTTTGAGTTGCCATATTGGAAAACACTTAAATTCCGACACATCCTCGATGTTATGCACATAGAGAAGAATATATGTGATAGTTTGCTTGGAACATTACTGAGTATAGATGGGAAGAACAAAGACACAGAAAAAGCATGCATGGATTTGGAAGATATGAAAATGAGGAAGGAGTTGCACTTAAAAAGGCGTGCCGATGGATCTTTTGAAAAGCCCCCAGCATTGTACACTTTGTCCTCAGATGAAAGATATGGTTTTTGTGAGCTTTTAAAGTCAATTAAGTATCCTGATGGTTATGCAGCAAACATCTCAAGGTGTGTGAACACAAAAGGTGATAAGTTAACTGGCCTAAAAAGTCATGATTTTCATGTCCTCATACAGCGACTTCTTCCCATTAGAATGCGTGGATATCTTCACAATGATATTTGTGTCGCATTATTTGAGTTGGGAAATGTCTTCCAAGAGCTTTGCTCGAAGACATTGAAGATGAAGAATTTGGAAATATTAGAAGATCGCACAATATTCATACTATGCAAGTTAGAAAAAAAATTTCCACCAGCATTTTTTGATGTGATGGTCCATTTGGCGATTCATTTGCCACGTGAAGCCATTCTTGGTGGGCCTGTGCAATATCGGCGGATGTACCCCATTGAAAGGTACTTACTAACTTATTAAAACACTAGAATACTTAAATTGTAGCACAACCTATATATATATATTTATAAAAATGTGAGTGTGTGTGTAATAAGATTATTCTATTGTTTGTTTCATAGGCTACTTGGAACTTTAAAAGGATATGTTGCAAATGGAGCTCGTCCGGAAGGTTCGATCACAGAAGCTTATGTTGTCAATGAGTGTCTCACATTTTGCTCAATGTATCTGGGTGGGATTGAAACTGTATTTAATCGAGAGAAACGAAATGTCGATGTTAGTGTGCATGAGTCGGGGTTAGAGGTCTTCGCGCAAAATGTTCGTCCTTTTGGGCTAATTACAAGGGTTTCTAACGTGTCTCAAAAAGAACGTGAAATGGCTCATTGGTTTGTCTTGAATAATAGCCTCGAGCTTGACCATTATCTAGAGTACGTTCTTAATATTGTTTTTTTTGTAGAATTATGTTTTCAATATAATATGTTACTTATGAATCATATGTTTGTAAGTAGGCAACACAAGAATCTTTTAGAAAATGAAGGTGTACGTGACATCACAAATAGACAGAAAAAGGAATTCCCCAAGTGGTTCAAAGAACATGTAAGATATAATCCCAAACTTTATTCAGCTACACTTATATGAATACTAACATAATGATTGAAATTGATGTCGTTATGTAGATGAACCAATTACGAGCTCAAGGATTACCAGAAGCAACTGATGATTTGTGGTCGTTAGCAAATGGTCCTAGTGTGAATGTTAACTTGTATTCAGCTTGCATTTCCAATGGTGTTCGATTTCATAGTAAGGATCATGATAGCAGTCATAAATGCCAAAATAGTGGGTTAGTTGTGGAAGGGGAGCATGAGAGACAAACAATTAACTTTTATGGGTACTTGAATAGAGTGTTGGAGACGCATTACATGCTTGGACATCGAGTTGTTTTATTCCAATGCGAATGGTTCAATACTGGTAGCAGTAGAACATTACATACCGATACACATTGCACAAGTATTGATGTTAGAAGTCGATGGTATAAAGATGATCCATTTGTCTTACCAAGTCATGTGAAACAAGTTTTCTACGTTGATGATACAAAGTTAGGCGGACATTGGAAAGTCGTAGAAAGACTACAACATCGAGGAATATGGGATGTACCAGAACAAGATGGCTTTGAACCTGACAATGTATTGCAACAAAATGAAACAACTGATGCTGTCCCAGTGAGCGTTGAAGACCCCGTGACAATCTCACTTCATATGAATGACATTGATCCTCAAATTATCCCAAGTGAGGTGGTTTTACAATCAGTTAATCGAGCACACAACAATGGTGTTGATGAGGAAGAAGGGTGCGATAATGAAGATGATTACTACGAGCATTGACTATCCAAGAAGATGAGCTACATAATCATTTTGATTGTAATATAGATTTTGACATAGAACTTTAATTGTTGTGTCATTTTTATGTTTTTATGACACTGTTGTTTAAGTGCCTTTGAGTTTGAGTACAATGACAATTTAAAAAGATTTTTTTTTTTATATATATATGTGTTTGTGTGTGTCCCTCTCTGTCTCTCTCTTTGTCTAATTTATTTTTTTTGTTTCTTATGTTATGTTATTGTTTAGTTATCACTTATGTTCTGATATTGATTCTATTATATAGCCATTGATATTAATGTAATTGCTTATTTTACATATGCTTCACACATTGAGTTGTTGTGCTAGATGGCAGGCCTTGGTAAAGTTCGACATGCAGCATCATCCAAAGTTCCTCTACCTTCCCAACAAGCTGCAGCTAGAATTGCTGTCCCTACTCAGCATGCACCACCTATTTTAACCCCTCCTATTCAAAGTGTACCATCTACAAATGCTCTAAGTATCCAGCCTGCACCACCGACAAATGCAACTACTACCCAGGTTGCACCATCTACAAATGCAACTACAACCCAGGTTGTACCATCTACAAATGTAGCTACAACTCAGGCTGCACCATCTACAAATGCAACTACTACCCATGATGTGCCATCTACCACTAGTTTGCGTACTCGTTCCAGACAAGTCAGGGGTCAGACTCGAGGGAAGAGCATAGCACGTCTCATAGCTAAAATTGGTGGTAAAAAACTTCCTATTTGGATCCCTGCAGATGCAAAGGTGCCAATAGGACCTTATGCCACTCTGTTTGCAAATGAACTTGGCTTACAGATAAGGATGGCTGCTCCAATCATTGGTATAAAAAAATGGGACAAGATTGATGAGATTCATAAAGCCCCAATCATTCAAGCAGTTCGGGTACATGTATTTGCTACTTTTCAGATAATTAGATTATCACCATTACTTGCATTTTGATATTAATAAAAGCATTCATTATATTTGTAGGATAAATTTGAGATTGTTGATTATGATGAGGATGAAAAGGTTCGGAAAGGAGTCAATAAAAAGTATAAAACTATTTACAGAAGTTGGCGTAACAAGATGAACACTCATCGAAGTTGGTAGACGCTGGTGTTGACCCTTACAGTAAACCATACAAAGGGGTCGATTTTGAGGCTTGGGTATACATGATCGATCATGTATGGCTTGATGACGATTATCAGGTAAAATTTCCTAATTTAAAGAATCATGTTGTAATTTCAATTTAATTTTACTAATCAATTAATTTTGCAAAACTTGGCTAAAAAAGCAAGGGATAGTCGAGTAAGGTTACCATATAATCATACAATGGGCTCCAAGTCATTTCAAGCTGCAATGTATAAACAGGTGATGCATTTATTATATCTAACATAATGATTGAAATTAATTATGTATGCTTACTTTTAAATAGAATTAGGGTACCGAGAAGACTGACTTTGTAGACTTCTACAAAGATTTCCATTGGAGCAAGAGAAAGTCGGATTAGGTAGCCCCAGTATGTGGTCAATTACATGCAAGTATGCCAATTAATAGAGTTACATATTTATGTAAATGATGGTATTTGTTGAAGTTGTTTACAAATTGATAAGAAGCTTTGAAAAAGCGACACGAAGAGTCTTTAGAGCCTGGGGCAATACCTTTAACTCAAGAGCAGCTGTCAATCGAGATTCTTGGAAAGAAATTGGGATACTTAAAAGGCTTTGGAGTTGGTCCAAAACCATTATCATCCAGATCTTTTGTTACTGCACAAGCACATACTGAGGTGGTTTCGAGCCTACAAAAAGAACTAGAGTCATTGAAGAATTTGTCCGAGATCCAGTAAGAAAAAATTGCAGCCCAGAACGTGGTAGCACAAGAGCAAGCTAAAATGATTAAAATGCAAAACAAAAGATTTGAAGAGATTGAGAAGTTTATGAGGATGACCAAGGATCAGGCAGGCATGCAGGTTGATGAAAATAATTATTTATCAGAGGAATCTTATTGACAAACACTTTTGTAAGTATATTTTTCATAATTTACTTTTCAAATCACTACAAGCATTTCATTTAATATGTTTGGTTGTGTTGAACAAACAGGACCTCGATTGGATCTCCGGTTAGAAAATCAGAAGAAAAATTGTAAAACACAAGACTTAAAAAGCCCGTTAGGGGGCCGAAATTGGAAAATGACCACCGAAACCACCGAAACTTGGCATAGACAGCTTGTTCAAGCCTAAATAGACTTGTAAGAACAAACGGGACCTCGATTGGATCTTCGGTTAGAAAATTAGAAGGAAAATTGTAAAATACAAGACTTAAAAGGCCCGTTCGGGGGCCGAAATTGCGAAATGACCACCGAAACCACTGAAACATGGCACGGACAGCTTGTTCAAGCCTAAATAGACTTTTAGAAACAAATGGGACCTCGATTGGATCTCCGGTTAGAAAATTAGAAGGAAAATTGTAAAACACAAGACTTAAAAGGCCCGTTCGGGGGTCGAAATTGTGAAATGACCACCGAAACCACCAAAACTTGGCACGGACAGCTTGTTCAAGCCTACATAAACTTGAAGGAACAAACGGGACCTCGATTGGATCTCCGGTTAAAAAATTAGAAGGAAAATTGTAAAATACAAGACTTAGGCCCCGTTTGTAAAATTGTAAAATACAATGATGTGAAATGACGCGTGTGAACTTTTGATTTGTTACACACTTAGGCCCCGTTTGTTTTCAGAGGTAGAATGGAGGGGATTCATAGTGAGAGGATTAATAGTGTGGGGATTGTTAGTGAGGGGATTAAGTAAAATTGTGTTTGTTTTGATGATAGTTGTTAGTGTAAGAATTGTTAAATTATTTTTATATAAAATAATAAAACAAATAATTGTAAAATACAAGACTTAGGCCTCGTTTGTAAAATTGTAAAATACAATGATGTGAAATGACGCGTGTGAACTTTTGATTTGTTACACACTTAGGCTCCGTTTGTTTTCAGAGGTAGAATGGAGGGGATTCATAGTGAGAGGATTAATAGTGTGGGGATTGTTAGTGAGGGGATTAAGTAAAATTGTGTTTGTTTTGATGATAGTTGTTAGTGTAGGAATTGTTAAATTATTTTTATATAAAATAATAAAACAAATAAAAAATATAAAAAAATTAAACATTAATATTTTTTAAAAAATTCCCAATATAAAAAAAATAAAAAAATTTCTAATCCCCTCACTATTTTTCTAATACCATCTCTACCTCTTCCTTCCCAATCCCCCTTCCAAGGCCTTTACTAATATCAAGGGATTAGGAGTCCCCTCTCCATCTCTCAAAACAAGCACCCCATATAATAGTCCCACCTCACTGTCAATCCCAATTCTCTCCCTATAACCCCAAACAAACAGGGCCTCAATCATGTTGGGCTTTACTTCTTTGTCACATCATTACGAATGTATTTAAGGGTCTCAAATGTGAGTCTCAATGAGTACCAATGAAATATTACAAATCTAAGGCACAACAATAATAAAGAGGAACAAAGTAAGTGCAAACCACATCAAAACTAAACAATCTCATCCCAATTAAGTTGGCACATAATAAAAAAATCTAATCATATACCAACACGAAGTAAAAAGAAGGGACGATAGAAAGGATCCAACCAGAAGAGCAACAGCCCAGCAAATCTATAGCTCAACCGAAGCAACTTATTGATTGTCAATACAATAAAAAAAATATGAAATTTCATTATACACACTCCATACAGGGGCAGAGCCATTAAGGCACTGGTGGGTGCCATGGCCTCCCATTGAATAAAAAAAAAAGAAGTACGTATGTATATTTTTAAAAATAAATATATATTCTTAAAATAGTTCCCTCTTGTTTTTTAATTTATTGACGTAAAAAATCTAACAACTTTCGATTTCACTTTTACCAACTGATAATATTGTTATGTATGTATATTTTTAAAAATAAATATATATTCTTAAAGTAGCTCCCTCTTGTTTTTTAATTTATTGATATAAAAAATCTTACATCTTTCACTCTCTCTCTCTTTTCTTTTTACATAATCTTTTATTTCTCTTCCAACCATTTTAAATGTCATAAAATTCAATATATTTTAAATATTATCTGTCTTATTTCATCTACCAAATATTATTTTCAAAAATTGAGAGATGATGAATGAAATGATTTAGTTATTATGGTAACATTATTTTGTGGCACATATAAAGAAATTGTAGAAGCATTTTTATTTTATCGAGTTTTTCTTTATAAAATTGGATAGTCTAATAAAAATGTTATGGTTATCAAACCCACTTAACTTTTTCATTAAATTATATACATAGAGAACTTTATAAAATGAATAGTTTAAGTTATCAAAATGAAATCCTACAAACTTGAATAAATTTTTTTCAAATTGAAATTCGAACTTCATAAACCCAATCCTACAATAAAACTCAATAAATTACATTAATTATAATTATAATGATGAAAATCAAATACAACACATAAATAATACAAAAAAACTTCCAAATTGAAAGAGATAAACTCTAATTCTAACCATTAATCTCCAATAGTAAGCGAGATGCAAAAAAATCTAACCAAACCAACTAGGCCGTTAATTATTTTTATTTGGATTAACTTGACCATTATTATTGATAAACCCAACGGAAAGATTGACCAAATATCTCCAAAACAATTATATGAGTGTGGAGAAAGATTTTTATTAATAATACTTCAGAGCCTCCCATCGGATGAATATATGAAGTTTTTCAAAATGGCGAAAATAGCCTTCACTTGGGTAGAATCTAGTAGCTGCGCACCATGATAGCCCCCGTCGTGAAACGAACCTATCACAGCCACACACTTCTTTTCTAAGACCTTGACCAACTCCATCTGACGGTCAATCAACGGGTCTCCGTCACAGCCCGTCACCATAACCTTCCATCCCAGCATCCTAAGCTGCTCAACAAAGTTTGACTCACCACTGACGGTCAGATTGCAATACTCGTGATCTCGATCAGCTCCAATTGGCAGAGACAGTTCCCACATGAGATCACTTGAAGACAACGGCAACCATTGATCATTGATCAATCTCAACTCCGATGAGGTCCTCTCGGACCCACCAAAAAAAGGTTGTTGCAATATCAGCCCTCTGATCTTCAACGGCACATGATCATCAACCTCCGCAGCTACACGTAGTCCCGCATGGTAGGCTATGTTGGCACCAGCACTAATGCCCATGAGAAAACAGTTAGAAAAGTCAGCGAAGCGACGTAACCACTCGTCGTTGGAAGTGCTGATCCAATGCAACGCGTCCATGGCATCATCGTAGGCCGCGGGGAGGCGATGCTCGGGAGCGAGACGGTAGTCAACTGATACAATCAAGGCTCCAACTTGGATGGCCATTTCAACGCAAAAATTGTGGAAAATGCCCATGGATGCACTGCATAGGACGAAGCCGCCGCCATGGAAGTAAACGACGAGAGGGAGCTTTGTGGTGGAGGAGCCATGATCTAGTGCTTGGCGGCTCAGGAATATACGTAGGAAGGTGTTGTGTTGTGGGTTTAGAGGGACGTCTTTGGAGAGAACAGCAGCGGAGGAGGTCGGATCGGGTGATGCCGGAACGCCTGGGATTTGGTGGACCCGCGTGATCGTGCCGTCTGGGTTGAGGACGATAGGGGGGCACCGGGAGACTGGGCCAGTGGAATCTAGTGATGATGAGGTAGTAGTATGCTGATGATTCGACATGTCAACAAAGCTTCTGATAGATTGAGCGGGGACTCAAAGCTTCAGTAAGTGGTGGTGGCTGAGGCTGTGGTGTTTTTTGAACTAATTTTGTTTATGGTGTTCTTTCTATATTGCTAGTTTTCTTTAACATTGTCGAAGATATTTATATTTCACTGAGGTGGGTTCTCTCCTGTGGGTAATCTAACTTCGGTATGGCTTCCCTCCCGTCCCAAACTGAATTGGATGATACTATTAAGTTTGTGAGACCCATTACCTGTCTCATTTCGATAATTTGAATAGTTCAATATATAGAACTCGTTGAATACTATATGACCATTAAAAATCAGTTTGATTAGATATTGATACCTATTTCATCGAATCAGATTTCTGTCAATCGTTTATTTTTTCTCGTTATTTTTTTATATAAAACTGATTTGATCACATACTTATCGATATCTAATTAATTTAATTTTTTTATAAGAGTATAGTATTCAACGAATTCTATATATTAATGATTTAAATTATAGAAACGAAATTTATGATGAGTCTTCACAAGTTCAATAATATAATCTATTCTAATTTAAGACACAAGAGAATTCAGACAATCTAACTTTAACACGCGGTTTAGAACGTAGGAGATGACGTCAGAAAAGAAAGCAACATAAACAACATTATGTTTAAATGAATAAACTATAAGAGGTTGTGATTTCTCACTTATTTTATTTGAATAGGACAAATAAAAAAAAGAAAGTATTATAATTTATTTTATCAAAATAATTTTCATATCAATAAGTTATGTTTGTTTATAAGAGTAATTTTAAATTTTTTTTATTAAATCGAATTAATTTCTCATCAAATCTCACCACTTTTAGTGAGAAACAAAATATAGTGATAAAATGATTATCACTATCTTTTATTAGAAAAATGTTTGAGGGCCACAAAAAGTGTGGCTCAAATGGTTCAAAACTGTCAAAATGACGTCGTTTTGTGTCGTTTTACGCCTAAAACAACGTTATTTTAACAGTTTTAAGTCATTTGAGCCACACTTTGTGTGGCCCTCTACCATTACTCCTTTTATTATTTCTTAGCATTTCTCACCTACTTTACCATCTAAACAATTAAAGGGATTTTTTATTCTCATCATTTTTTTACTTTTTTTCACCAAATCCTTCCATCCAAATGAAGTGTAAAGTACTTGTTTAGTGAGCCTATTTGTTTATTTTATAGGGAATGACTTATCTCCGGTCGAAATGTCAACTAGACCAAACAGTTGAAGTCTTTGACCATTAAGAAGCATTAAACAGAAGATTCTGACTGGTAAGAATAATTAAACAAAAAACTCTTATCGATAAGAATCTTTAAAAAAAAATTAATTAGGCCATATTTTCATAAACTCTTACCGGTAAAAAACTTCCGTTTAATGATTCTTACTAGTAAGAAACATTTGTTTAAAGATTCTTATCGGTAAGAAATTTCAACTGTCTGGCCTTGTTGAAAGATCAACTGGAGATAAACCAAATCCTATTTGATAAAAGAGCATTGTTATTCATATCCAAAATTTATATTTACTTTATAGATCCAATAATGTGTAAAGATGGTGATTAATTGATAATTAAATATTTTCTAATTATCAACTAATTATGCTCTTGACAGATTACTAGATCTATAAAGTGAATTTAAAAAGTATATTTGTATATTATTTTTCTTTATAAAATTCATCTAGAAGATAATTTATATAAAAATTTAGATTGATTAGATAGTGAATTTTTAAAAAAATAAAATAATAATGATTCAAATAAGTAATACCTCAAAATGACTTCAACTGGGTACCAGCCCAGGTGCGCATGCCACCTGCCTCATGAGAGAGGAGTAAAGCAATCAGTCCATAATTAATGAAAGTAACTATATTGTCAGTGAGATTTTAAGGGGTTATTTAGAATGTTTTAAATAAGTGTATTTTTTAATTTTTTAAAATAAAAAATTGAAAAAAAAAATTATGATTGTTTGAAATAATTTTTTGATTTTTTACGAAAAAATATGTATTAAAAAATTATATAATTTAGTATATAGGAGAAGGGAGAGAAGAATAGGCAGTACGCTAGGGCAGAGCAGTGGGCAGACTGGCATATAGGATATGCTTGCCTCCTTTTTGGGCATTAAATTGGACGGTGATGTTCGGCCCGTGGGGGCCCACCATGGGTCTCATTTTGGTAATTGGAACCGTCCAATGTGTAGAACTCATCAAGTACTATATATTTATAAAAAATCACGTTGATCAGATATCGATAGCTATCTGATCGGATTAGTTTTTTGTCAATCATTAACTATAATACCATCTATTTTTGTATACAAAACTAATTTGATCATATAGTTAACAATATTCAATCAAAGAGATTTGTTACGGGCATATAATATTCGACGAGTTCTACACATCGAACGGTTCAGATTATCACAACGGGACCCACGAGAGGCTCCCACGGGCCGAACAGCACCGTCCTTAAGCTGGCCTTCGCCTATGTAATTTGTTCTCACCAAAGTCAAGTAAAGGCACACTACAAGAAAAATCACCTTTGGCGACTAAATTTTTAGTCGCCAAAGGTCCATTTTTAGTCACTAAAAATCAAGTTTTGGGTTTCCCCGACTAAAACTTTTAGTCGCTGCCTTTGTCGCCAATAAATGGTCGCGGGAGGTATTGACGACTAAACCTGTTTTAGTCGGCAAAAAGGAGCCCTTTTAGCGACCAATAATTTAGTCGCCAATAGTGTTTTACACTTTTGAAAATCATACATTTACCGACTAATAATTTAGTCGCCAATACTCAATCAAACGCCGACTAAACCGTTTAGTCGCCAAACTAAAGACTTTTGGCGACTAACTTTTTAGTCGCCGAAGGTGTTTCCGTCAAAAAAAAAAAATCTCATTTTCTTGCTGTTTCTGAGTTTCGAACAGCAGCCGTCCAACATTCCAAACCTTTAACAACACACTCCCTCCACTATGCCACTACACATCACATGAATATATATGAAATATATATTATTTATATAGTATATTGTCCGATATTAATACAAAACAATATTTATAAATATAATTATTTTTATTCAAATATAATTTATGTAAAAAATAAATGATTTATTAAAAAAAAATTTGGGCCACTTTTGGCGACTAAAATCAATTTTTAGTCGCCAATGCTATAATTATCGGCTACTAATTATTTTTTGTCGCTAAAAAAAGAAGTTCCAATTAAAAATCAGCAGTTTTGGCGACGAAACCTATTTTTAGTCGCCAAAAGGGGACGTTTTTGGCGACTAAACTGAATTTTAGTCGCCAATACTCAGTTTTTAGCTACTAATTTTTTTTTTGTAGCCAAAAACCTGCACATTCAGCGACTAACCTGTTTTTTAGTCGCTAAAACCAGCACCTTTGGCTACTAAATTGTTTTAGTCGGCAAAAACCATCACTTTTGGCGACGAAAATTGTGTTAGTCGCTGAAACCCATATAATAGGCGACCAAACTGATTTTTAGTCGCCAATACATATACATTTGGCTACTAAATGGTTTTAGTCGCCAAAAGTCTTCATTTTTGGCGACTAAAATGGATTTAGTCGCCATTTGTGTAACTTTCAGCGACGAAATTCATTTTTTTAGTCGCCATTGGTGCTTTTTGTTGTAGTGGCAACTCCCATCAGAGTGAGTTGTACTTTTTGTGTAAAAATATTTTTTTTATAATTTTTTTTGACGAATAGTGATAATTTTTAAATTTTTTTAATAACTTTTTGACTTTTTATCTTTTTTTGAAGATGTCAAACCAGGCCTAATTATATTTTTTTTTCCAATTCTCGTTTATGTTTATGAAAAAAAATAGAAAATTCAGAATGCCAGAAGTCTATTTTGCCCCTCCTTTTCACTTCGTAAAATTCATAGCATTAATTCTCTATTTTCCTGTACAAAGACAATTTGTGTAAATTAAAAATTTGTGGCAAATCCGTGAGTTCTCATACAAAGACAATTTGTGCAAATTAACAATTTGTTTCTCGGGAGAGTTAATAATTCGGTTCAGAAATTAGGAAAACCATGTTGTTTGGTTTTTAAACTCAACAAATTTTCTGGTTTTTTTTTTTTTTTTTTTTTTTTAATCTTTTGAGATTTTTTTTAATTATTTTTTTTATAAAAAAATTATGATGTTTTCCATATATATAGACTAGTTTTGGACCATGCGCGAAAATAATTGTATATAGTAAAAAAAATAAACAAAAAAAATTTATTTATAAAAAAGGATAAAGAATAAAAACTTATAAAAATAAATTAAAATAAAATTTATATTCTCAGTTGAAATTTTGATAAGAAATTGTACAAAATTATCCTACTAATCTATCCAAACATTTTTGCAAATCGTTTTAAAATAAGACGTCAACAATAGTTAAGTTGAATTTGAAAATATGTATTAATTCATATATCATTTCAAATATTTTTTCAAATATTAAAACATTGTATTGTGTAATTTTTTGTTGCATTTGGTGAGTTTGACCAAAGGGATTCTGATAGATTTTTTTTTTTTTTTTTTTTTTTTTTTAAACTCATTGTAATGTAAATTTGATGTTTTTTTTTCCATGTTTGCAATTATAATGTCTTTTCATAATAAAGAGGCTAATTTGATTACATAAAACGATTTACATATTTAGAAGTTTATAATATCCAAAAAAATTAAAAATAAGTGTATGCTTGGATTTTACACATCTAAAATTTCTAATAGCATAAAGAAAACTTTCTGAAATGAGAGCAATTTAAATTTAAAAATAAAAATTATACGTGTTCCCCTTATTAAAGTCCATTTAAAAAAAATTCCTGTAAAAATCTAAATAGTGTATGTACAAGGTCACATTTTAGCATGATTTATTTTCCAATTACCACTAAAATTTTACCACATCAATGTTTCAGTGCTGGCATCACCCCAAAATTTGACCACTTAGATTAAACATATTAATGTTATGGTTTGATTTTGATAATGTCTAAAATATTATAGATAAATTGTAATTTTATAGGAAATATTATTGACAAATCTCATTTAAAAGTGTTTCAACCGAATAAGTCCATGAAGAAATTTTTAAACCCATTTAGTCCCATGTATGTATAGTTTTATTCCATAAAGTCCTTTTTTCTTAATTTACACTATTTTCTTGGACATTTATGCCCTTATATTCAATTTTGATACCCTTATAAATATTTTTTGAATGGTTAGCAATTTTACGATGTGAACATTCATAGTTTAAAATTCACATTGGTAG